ATACAAGATTTTATACTGAAGGGTTGTTTGTAGAAGGCAGTTTCTCTACTTATTTTTTCACTGCAAATGAAGAAGAAAGACTTGTCTCAATTACAGTAAGAGAAATACAAGAGAATTCCCAGCTGCAAGCAGAAAGATACATTGGTAAGAGCTTAAGAGGGTTAATGAAGTTCTTTCTAGAGGTATTTATGGCAACAGAAAGGCTAAGCATAGTTTCCTGAGAAGGAAGGTTAGGACCTTGATGCTTTGTTCCTTGTTTCCCTTTCCACCTCCATTTATTCTCCACTAGGAGACACAGCTATGCTCAGCATGATACTAAATCCCCCAAGCAATGAGGTTTTTCTTTCTTTCTTTCTTTTTTTTTTTTCTCATGGTCAAGACGCTCCATCTTTTTGAGGACACAGCAGTTATTCAGCTCAGGTTGCTGGAACCATGTTGTGGTATAAAGGGGGTTCAAATCACTTAGGAATTGGTTCATCTGAGAGCAAAATGAAAACTCCAAATAAAATGGCAGACACGAAATAGAAATTTAAGAATCTCGGTTTATGATGTTGTCAGGAACCATCATTCTCAGCATATAACTTCCACCTCATGGTCCAAAATGACTGCTTGAGCTCTAGCCATCATGTCTACATTCTACTCAGGAGGAAAGAAAGGATGAATAAAGGGATATCCCTTTCCTATAAGGACACCTTCCAGAAGTTGCAAAAGATACTTTTGCTTACATCTCACTTCCCGGAAATTGCAAAACACACTTTTGCTTACATTTCAGAAGTTATATAGTTTAGAATGGTTGAGTAATGTGACCAATGTGCTCTCCCTGTCCACAGTTGGATTCCCACGGATAGTAGGCTACTCTCATCTGGCAATCACTTGACACTTCCCTTGATTTGTCTCTGGGTCTTTCTGAGTAGCTGAATCTGATTTTCAAATCTTGATAGCAGGAACATTAAGGCACATCCTGAAGGTGTTTACAGGGCCTTAGGATCAGCCTGGGTTCACTGGAGCATAATATCGTTTCTAAACTCTAAAGGAAAAATGCACTCTGAGCTAGCAGGTCTGCCTGGGGCCTGAAATTCTACATTTCCAACAGGCTCCGAAGTGAGGCCATGTGGCTGGTGCATAGACTATGTTCTGAGTGCAAGGATTTAAAGAAGGTTCTCTGTGGATGCCCAAATGTTAGTTTTTTGTAGACTACTTAGTTGGAGAGGAGCAGTGGTGGTCAGGTTGTATCTGTCCATGGTTCTTGCATGCTGCTGTTCATAAGAATGCCCCGCGGAGCTTGTTAAAATGCAGACTTCCAGGATCCCAGCGATTGTTTTCAATGTAACAGGTGGCAGGCATCTGATTTTTTACAACAGGCACTCTGGGTAATTTCTGATAAAGGTGGTCTAGGAGTCGCATCGTGAGAAATGTTGGCACCAGGCAATTGTCTTGACCTCTGGATCATAATCCTGTAGGATCCTGGCATTCTGGGATTTCTCTAAATAGTGTAGCTTAGTTCCTTAAAGGAGAGACATTTTCTTAACTGTCATGACCCAGGAGAATTTCATTATAGGCCCATGCATCTTCCTTTCCTGTTTTGGAGCTAAGTAAGAGTGTTTTTCCTCCAGGAGCTTTGCAGTCACCTTTGTCAGCTAGGGCTGCAATGACAGAATGCCACACACTAGGTGGCTTAAACCCCACATATATGTTTCTCACAGTTCTGGAAGTCAGATGTCCAAGATTGGGAGTAAGCATGCTGGGTTTTGGCGAAAACCCTCTTCCTGGCTTGCACATAGCCTCTCACTGTAGCTGCTTTGTGTCTGTAACCTCATAGGTGCCCCCGCCCCCCACCAAACCTCATCTAAACCTAATCAATGTAGGAATTTTAGGGGCATGCAAATTGATCGTAACAGGGAGATTTTGTGTCACTGAGAGTGGCGCTGGTCGATTAGCTAGAGGTCTGGTGGGGAAAAGGCATGTGTGGGGCAGGGGTAAGGAGGATTCAGAAGGGAGGAAGAGTAGGGGAGGGGAAGAAGCCAACCTTTCCTGTCATCTTGTGTATGCGAGCATGGCACTAACCATTGTGTTAGTGCTCACGTAGACCTTACTGCTACCCTGTGAAGTATAGGGGCAATCCTCCTTTACCACAGCTATGTTTTAATACTCTTTTGCATGTATTAAATCTTTAATATGATTTGGAGGGAAGGGATAGCTTTTGTGACCACAGGATACTAGAGGACTTTTGCCTCTTTACTTCGTACCATTTTCACTCCCTGGAAGGTACTCCCTCCCTCTATTGCCTCTTTCCTGTCCCCAGCTCCTCTTTATCTTTTCCATCTTCTAAGCTTCTCTGCTTATAAAGGCCTAGTTCAGGACTCGATTTCTCTGTCACCCTTTCCAGGAGTCCTAGATCACAGCAAACTTCCAGGGATTCAATCTCCCACTCACATGTCAGAGGTTTCCCTAGGCTCATTATATTGACCATGCCTCTTTATTTCCTGTATTTTTCATGTTTTAACATCTGGGGCCTTACAGACCCTGGAAGGACTGCCTCTCTGAGAATTACCCAGACCCTAGAGTTGGTGAGGGACAAGCAGGCTGGTGCGTCTTTCATACGCAAACAAGGTGATGCAGAGCTCACTCCCTCAGCCAGCCTCCTCACGGAGCTCTGATATCCTGGGCCACTGTCCTCTTGCTGACGACGTATCCTCAGAGCCACATCTCAGGCAAGTAAGCACTGCCCCAAGCCACACAGCCTGCTGAAATCCTTCAAGCTAGCCAGCCATAAGCCCCCATTCAACTGGCCTGCAGCTCTCATTTCTTCCTGTGGAAACCACAATAAAGGCACTTGCTCACATTTTTCCTCCTCCTACCGCCACCTTCTGACTGAGACTGGTGCTTCCCCAGATGGCGCCCCATGGCCAGGCATGCCCGGTCTTTGGGGATCTGAGTATAACAACAAACTATCTTTCACTGGCAATCATCTCCTGATCTGTTGGTCTTACCATACCTGAAAGACAATAAACCCTACATTTTTTAGCTTTTTTTTTTTTTTTGAGGCATAATTGACATACCATATTATATTAGCTTCAGGTCTATCATGTAATGATCTGATATTTGTATATATTGCAAATGATCACCACAATTAGTCTAGTTAACCTTCCTCACCATGTATAGCTATAAGATTTTTTTCTTGGGGTGAGAACTTTTAAGATTTACTCTTAGCTTTCAAATATATACTACTGTATTGTCAACTGTAGTCACTGTGCCCTACATTATATCCCCATGAGTTTGTACCTCTTGACCCCCTTCATCCCTTTGGCTCATCCCCAACAGATGCCCTGTCTCAGGAAACCACCGATTTGTTCTCTGTATCTATGAGCTTAATAAAACCTACATTTTAAAATGTTCATGTCAAATTTCATATACCATGAATCCCAACCATTTGGCTCCTTTGTTCTCCTGAGATTGAATTGCTGATGAATGAAGAACTCATTTGGTGTCTCTCCAGCAGACCCAGTAGCTCCTGGTTCTGTTTACTGGGAAATGAACCCATTTAGTCTCTGAGGGGAGAACCCTAGGCTTTTTTTTTTTTTTTTCTTTTGACTTTTCAGTATATTGGTAGAGCTGCTCCGTGTTGAAGGACAGGCTGATTGTAGCCCTGAGCTCCACAGCTTTCCTTTCTAACAAGGTCACTTGACCAGGGAAGAGCCATTGTTAGGGCCACACAGATATCCTGTCCTCTGTCCCTGCAAATGTCTGGAGCTTGATGGTGGTGGGCTCTGCTCTATAGGAACACTGGTGTATATATTTTTTACATTTGTTTGATATTACAATGTTTTGACATCTTGAAAAATCGTTCTGCCTGGGGAGGGAGAGACCGCCCCTCTGGAAATTAGTGCAGGCTTGTAGATAGCAAGGGCTTAGCTAGAGCCTGCTTTTGATATGCAAACTAACCAATCCAGAGGCGGCCTCCTCTGTGGGGCTCTGCATCCCAAGAAGCAGTATGCTTCTGCCTTAATCATCCCAGGGCTATTGTACCAGGCAACCAGTGACCATCCCTCTAGCCCAAAGCCCACCAAAATTATTCAAACTAGCTGACCTCAAACTGTTCACCTTGCCCTGGGAGGAACCCCAATAAAGGCTGTGGTCTCGTTGCTTCTTTTGCTCCCATCTTCTGCTTCCTGGTCATGCTGGTGCTTTTCCATGTGGCCCTGCCTGGTGTGGCATGCCTCCTTTCTCTAGAACCTGGGAGTGTAATAATTTTTGCCTTCTTGAGCTTCTCTTGTGTCTTGTGGCTGCACCCGACTGATCATCTCATAAAAGAGGATAAAGCAGCTGACCATAGGATTGAGGTGCAGATGTGCCTGGCTGAAGCTTGTGGGAGAATGAGAGCTCAGGGGATTGTGCCTTCTGATGCTTCTCCGCTTGTCATCCTCCCCCGTCCCATAAACCCAGTGATGTGTGTCCATGACCCCTTTGTGAAACAGTTTCCAAACTGGTCGTTAGCCACTCCTGCATTTAAGGATAAAGTGACTTCTGTGATGACAGGAAGTTAATTTACTCCCCTGTTAGATTGTGGACTAATAACAAGTGGTGGGATCATTGCTTTCTTCCCACCTAATAAATATTCCATGAATAACTGAAGCTTATTGAATTAGTTGGGCCAAAAGTCCTTCTTCCTTCTTTGCTGGGAATGCAGCCAGGGTTGTGTTTAAAAGACACACACACACACACACACACACACACACACACACGTGCTGACACTGAGCAAAATCCCTCGGAGAGAGAAAGCAGGGGATTTAGAAAGACAGAGCAACACGGAAAGCAGCACCAGAGGAAAGAAATATAAAAGCTTCAGTAGATGATACAAAAGGAATGGCGACACATTCCCCAAGAGAAGGAGATGATGCTATTTGTGGCATTGTATATCCCGTTTCTTTTTGTGATTCAACTGAAAGAAATGAATAATGTGGGAAGGGCAGGCAAGCTGATGAAAATCCAGAGCCTGATACCTTGGTGTCACGGTGCTGCCTCTGTCCTTGTTTTCTGAAAGCCAGCAGGAGCAGCCTCTCCTGCCTAGGGGAGAAACAGAACCAGTTTCCATGCAGCCTAAACAGCTGGGATCAGAGATAAGGTGCAGAGTTTCTTTTATTGGCTCAGCGGCCTGTGCCTTTTCAATGAGTGCGGCCAACTTGGTGGGGGACGTGAGAGATAGAAAGTGAACTTCTGCTCTGTTCCCAACCGTGGAGGCAAACCACATGGGCAGACTGTGTGGAGTCTGTGTTCTGCTTCCTCCCTGGGACAGGAGGACCATCTTAGACGCAGTCCTGTGGGTGGAAAAGAGGGAGGGCTCTGGAAAAGATGACCTGTGTGTGAGTCCTGCCCATTCAGTGACCCCCGCATCCCACCCCCCCCCACCAAGTCCTTGGGCAAATTGCACCACCTACTTGCCAGGTAGAGTTTTGGGTGCTGAAGTTAGAGTGCTGAACAGAGGGACTTTGATTCTAACAGGGAAGAAGTCTAAGAACAGGTAAGGAGAAAACAGAAGAATAGCAATAATAAATATTACAAAGGAAACGCAGGGGCTGAGAGGCTGATGGAGAAGGTGGGGAAGAGGACCAAGTCAGATGTGGTTCATACAGTCAGGGGACTCATGTCCTAGTGGGAGCCTCCCACTCTCTTTCTCTCTCTCTCTCTCTCACACACACACACCCACACACCCACCATGAAAAGCTATGAAAGAAATAAAGAAGAGCCCGAGAGAAAGAAAGTAGAAAGGAGGTGGCATGTGGGTGAATGATTCTACTTTGGGTGGATTTCAGGGAGGCCGGGGTGGCCTCTTAGGAGGTGACACTTGGGCCAATAAAAGATGTGACAGCACTTGCCCTGTGACAGTGGGAGGACATTCTGATTTCAAGGGCAGCAAGAGCAGCCTGTAGAAAGGCCCTGAGGAGAGGAGGTCAGAGCCCTCGAGGAAGTGGCAGAAGCCTGTGTGGCTGGAGTGCCGGAGACAGGATGAAGCCAGGGCACCTGCTGGGGGCTTCTTCGCACACTGCTGTGTAGGCTCTAATGAGGATTTTGGATTTTCTTCTAAGTGCAGAAGAAAGCATTTCAGGCAGGGAAATGACATAAGCCAGTTTATTTTTAAAGAGGTTCATGTCAGTTCTTTCTTAAACTCTGTAAAATGGAGATATTAATAGTATTGACTTGGGAGGGTTGTGTGAGGATTAAATGAGATGGAACTATAAAGCAGTTAGCCCAGTGTCTAGCACACAAGAAGTTTAAGGTGCATTCTCTATCTACTATTGTTATTACTCCCCATGGAAGGCTGGGTTTTGAGTCCACTAAACCAAGGTCATTCTACCTTCAGTTGTTTTCACCCCAGCCCCTTGGAGCTGTCTTGCAGGGACAAGATGAGGACAGACTGCTGTGTGTCTGTCTACTTACCTGTCATCTTTGTACATAAAGATGAAGTAGCCAGAGGTGGAATTAAAGTTTTCTCAGAACACAGATTTGAACCTGTTCTGACATTCAGACAAATGGGCAGTGGGGTTCCAAATTCCCTGACAGTAATAATTTTCATCTAGGAGCTATGAAAGGTCTACCTTGGTCCTAAGGCAACCACAGAACACCTAACTTTATGCTAATACCTTTTGGCTTTCTGGTAAACCTTTAAAGTTGGATACTCTCTTTCACCCCCATTCTAATGTTCACCCTGCTGTCCCCCTGGGAGGTTGGCCTCTGTGTACCACATCCCCTCTGACTGGTTGATGGTTTGGGGAAAGGCAGGAGATGGAGGGCAGACAGAGGGGACTGGAGATTCATTCCTCCTGTTCTCTCCCCATCCAGCTGCCTAGAAACAGCCCCCTTCCTTTGGGGTGGCCCCATCTACACTGCAGGTTTCTCTGAATTCAGGTAACCCCTCTGTCCTCTGACCTCTTCAGGCCCAGGGGTTGTAGAAATTTCTTCTTGTTGCTACCCAGAGATGCCTGTTGGCTTTCCTTAATGCTGCCCACATCTTGATAATAGTCACTTCATTAAATTCTCTTTAATCACCCCCTTTAGTATGCACCATCTGTTTCCTCCTGGGACCGTACCCATATACCCTCTAAGAGAAAATGTCTTCAAAATGTATCCTTATTAGACAGTTCTATCCAGTTACATGTAGGTGTATTTAAATATATATCATATTTCAAGGATTGTAAGATGTACCTCCCCCTGCACATACACATCAGCAGCTCCAAAGTTAGGATGACTTGCAAATGTAGGTTTTTACTCTTGGCTACCGGTGATGCATCTGTTGGTGTTTTCCAGTGCATGCGTGAACTTGGTCATTGCTGGTTACCAAGTCCTCATTTTCATTGAGTTATGTTCACCACTGGGACTATTCAGTGCTATTGAACATATTTACATTTTGATTCTGCTCTGGGGCGACATAACTGTGTTCAAAAAAGCACAAACTAGAGCAGGGAGGCATAATTCTGATGTCAGTGAAGCAGCTATCCATCCTGGCAGAATGGAGACAATTATATATATTTTTTAAGATTTTATTTATTTATTTGAGAGAGAGAGAGCACAGATGGAGAGTGAGAGGGAGAAGCAGGCTCCCCACCGAGCAGGGATCCCAGTGCAGGGCTTGATCCCAGGACCCTGAGATCGTGACCTGGGCTGAAGGCAGATGCTTAACTGAGTCACCCAGGCACCCTGACAATTCCATATTTTTAAAGGAAAGGCAGTTAATCAAAAGTAGTTGGAGGGCTGTTAAAGTTGTTACTGAGATATGTGCAAAAAAACTGCCTACAATAGAACAAATGACCTTCTGAAGGCAATAGGAATTCCCAGGTCCCTTGGAATTAAGATCTTTTTGTTTCTCCACAAAGGATTTTGAATACTAGCACAAACTTGCTGGATATGGAGTTTGGTGAGTTTGTCTTTCCAAAGAGAATTAGACTTTAACATTTTTTAGTCACAGTTGCAAGGGATACCCAAGGGGAACTAGGGCTTCTGTGGACAGTTGTTGAGGATGTGTACTGATAACTGTAGGGGGCACCATTCATATGTACGGTTACGCAGTGCACAACCTGCACATCTGTTCGTGATAGTCCAAGGAGGGACCACAATTACCTTCAGTGTTGATATGGAAGAATTCAGGTGGAATTTAACTATTGTCCACATTGCTTTTGGCCTCTCTGCAATTTAAGTTTATGACTTGACTTCAGTTATCTGGTTTATGGAATGAGTTTTGTTTTTACTTTCAGCTCTTCATATAGTATAGCTAAATATTTCACTGAAAATGTTTCAGTGTTTGGGAGTGTTATGTGGTAAGTTCAGTTTGGGGAGCACCAAGATGAAGAGAGGGAACACTGAACCTGGTATTTGGAGACCTGGGTTCAAAACTTGGCTGGACATTTGTGAACAGGTTCCTTTAGGACTCTCAGAACCTCGGGTTTCTTAAGTGTAAAACATGATTAATAATGGCTTTTTTGTAGATTTCAATGGATAAACAAGATTGCATATTTGAAAGAGCCTGACACACAATAAATGCTTAGTAAATATTGGTTTACTCTTACAAGGCAAAGCCCATAAAAGTGAAATAGCTTCTTATAATGCTGTTATATGAATTTTTAGAAAGGTGAGCCTCTCAGGTGCCAGTATAGAGATATCTTCATGCAAGAAGAACCATCTGAGAGGCATAAGAGGGCCGTCCAATTGGAGATGAGGCTGGCTGCAGAGAGAATCTGGCTCCCGCGGTGCAAGTCTGAAGTCCTTGGATCGAACAAAAACCGTTCCTGGCTTGTGCTTTTTTTCTCTCTGATATCTTAAGTTTTCCTATCTATTGACAGGACCATCTGGTGAAGAAGTGTCTCTCTTTACTTTCAAATGTGTGCACAGCCTCCTTTTGTGACTGGAGAAGTTTCATAGTTAGAGCTGTGTTCTTTCACCCTTTTCTTGATTTGGAATTCATGTCATCTATTCATGGGGGATGCTGGGGAGGTGATTTTTAGACCAAAGTGTGGCCCTTCTTGCCAAGATGTTTGGGTATCCCCAGTGGATAGATGCTCTCAAACACAATGTGTGTGAGGTCCAAAAAAAATCAAAGGTAAAACCATTACATGAGGTCTGCATGGATGGTCACCTCTGTGAGGGACCCTTGTTTGCTGGCTTGCTGCTCTCAGCAATTCTGGTCACGTCTCGAACATTGTTTTCTGTGGTGATGGGACTGGGAGTAGAAAGGGAAGGATGTTATAGAGAAGGGTTTGACTTGGAAAGGGCCACCATCTACTCTGCTAATACATGACTCCTGATTCTTGAAGACAAACATTTCTAGCTTCTGAGATTCCGAGAGCCAAAACAACCAAGGAGGACAGGTTCCAGTAACAATAAAGATATCTTACATTTGTATAAAGCTTTGTACTCTGGAAAGCAGCTTTGCCTGTATAATCTTATTTGACCCTCTTATAAACCCAGTGAGGTGGTTTGGAAGGCATTATTTTCTTTATTTTACAGCTGTGGAATCCAAGAAGATATTAAGTGTCTCGCCATGATCTCATAGCATGTAAGTGATAGAGTCCACATCTCCTAGGTCCTGGTCTAGTACTTTTTTTATATTATAGTGAATCATCTTGAGCGTTCACTTCTTAAAATATTTAAATGAATCTTTAATGCTTATGTAATATGTGTCCATGATTTAAAATTCAAGAAGGTGTAGTAGATATGGGATGAAAAGGAAGCCTTCTTCCCCCTTTCCCACTCCCTCAGCAATGTATTGACCCTTTCTGGATGCAATCATTATTCCCTGTTTCTTGTGTGTTCCTTTGGTGATAGCCTGTGCATTTATAAGTATAAATGTGTATCTTTCCCCTTTCCCCAGGGACTTAAAAAATAAGCAGCAAGGAACACCCTAGAGAAATTTGTCTAGTAAAGTTAGGAAATGATCTCACCTGGGGTTTATGAGAAATCCAGCTGATCTTTGTAGCTTACCTTTTGGGGGGGTTTAAATAGTACCTTTTAGCTTTATGAAAATAACAGACAATAGCTTTGCACTATAGATCTTGAAAGTGATTGAGACCTATTTTAGAGATGTTCTTAATATGAAAGTTTTTTCTCAAATAATGGTAATAAATAATAATAATAAAAATAGAAGTAGTAGTTATTAAGAAATTTACTAAACACCAGTTGCTATTCTAAGTACTTCTTGTGTAATATTTCCTCTAATTCTCACAACAATATTATGATAAGGGCACTATATTATCTATTTTTACAACTGAGAAAATGGGGGTCTCAGAAGGGTTAAGTTAATTTGCCCAAGGGCACACGTATAAGAAATGTTGGAACTGGGATTCAAAGCCTGACCCTAAGGCTCACATTCCCCCCCCTCCCCCGACAAAGATTTTATTTATTTATTTATTTGAGAGAGAAGGAGCAAGTGAAAAGCACGAGCAGGGTGGTGGGAGAGGGAGAAGCGGACTCCCCACCGAGCAGGGAGCCTAAGGTGGGACTTGATCCCAGGACTCTGGGATCGTGACCCGAGTCGAAGGCAGATGCCCAACGACTGAGCCACCCAGGTGCCCCCCAAGGCTCACATTCTTAACCCTTTTATCATTGTGAAGAAAAGAATTCTTGCAAGTTGAAGATCTCCTGGGAAATAGTCCATTTAGGAAGCAGGAATATTTGGAGAACTTACCCTTTTCACTCCTGGGTTACTTATGGTGTTAAAATTGTCACTTAGTCTTGGTCTGCTTTTGCTTTCTATCTGAAGTCTTTCCCTTCTCCAGCCTAAAGGTTATGCTTAAGGATCAGGAATTTGCTTTCTGGTTCATAAGGTAATTTCCTATCTTCCTCCATAATCTCTAAACCAGGATGATAAGAGCTTTCTTGTAAGTGTTTGACAATGTTTTCTAGAACTTGAAGTCATCTAGGTGGGACTTGAGAAATGGCCGTTGGAGAAAGCCACCTAATGTAATGACTTTGGGTCCTTCTATACCGAATCATAGCTTTAGCTCCTGTAACAAAGCTTCACTATTCCACAATGGCACAATATATCAGCTCTCCTGATAGAGTCTATTGTTTGCAATATTGTTCTCAAACTCTGAGGTGAAGGACCAGGTCGATTTCTCCCAGTCTGTTGCACACCAAAGCTAATACCCAGTTCACTCTGTGTGAAACTCACCAGACTAGTCCCATGCCTGAGCTGGTCTGCACCTTGTTCAATGAGATGAATCTATGGATGTTGTGTCATCGTCAGACTGCTGCAAGAAGTTTCTAGGTGCTCGTTCTCTTTGCAAATCAACAGTTTAGGAACTAGTAGTAACGTGAGCACCGCACTTTGAGTAGGTCTTTGTACAGGGTGCTGTGAACTGATGAATCAAGTGGATGAGTGCTAGCACCTAGCTGCTTCCCTGGAAGAAATAAAGCCAGTGCTTTCATTTGCTTGTTTATTTACAGCTTTTAAAA